GGAGCGCCGGCCCCTGAGGGAGCGCCGGCCCCTGAGGGAGCGCCGGCCCGCGAGGGAGCGCCGGCCCGCGAGGGAGCGCCGGCCCGTGCGGGAGCGCCGGCCCCTGAGGGAGCGCCGGCCCGTGCGGGAGCGCCGGCGGGGCGGCACCGCGGGGCCATGGCCGATGGCAACGCCGACTGGATGGGCTCGCTGCGACCCGCGCTGCGCTCCCTGCCGCTCTCCAACCTCGCTATCCCGGGTAGGGCGGCGCGGCAGGACGGGGTGTGTGGGGCCGGGGCCGCCTGGGCTGTGGTGGCGGAGTCGCCTCGGTCGTGGCGCCGCGTCCCCGTAGCAAAGTGTTGAGGCAGGGACTGGGACAAGTGCTGGGGCTGAGAGGAGCCCTGTCCATTGCAGCAGAGAAAGGAGGGCTTAATCTCCCATAAAAACTGCTGTGAGACTCATGCTATTGACCTGCTGCTTTCACTGCCTTGAGAGAAGGAAGCTGTGCCCGCTGGGGGCACTCCTGAAGGTCTGCAGGTAGTTAAAGTAAGGCTGAAATCGGGTGGGAGACGGGCTCGGTTGCTTTGACCTCACTGGAGGTTCAYCAAGTGATGGTCTGCTGAGATGGGGCTCTGAGCAGCCTGCTCTTGTGGAGGGTGTTCGTGGCAGGGGGCTTGGAGCTGCGTGATCTTTAAGCTCTCTCTTAACCCAAGCCATTCTATGATTGTGTTTTCTGTAGCAGAACCTGGGTATGGCTTCTCGGGGAAAAAAGGATGCAGCATGGTTATAAAATATCCTAATGAATGGTATTATACTGAAGACACTAAAATACTGTATCTGCTTATAAAATTTCCCCCTAAAWTTTTCCATCTAAAGTTACCTGAAGCAGAACAGCTAAAATGACAGCTTTTAATCAAAAGTGGTGCCCTTTCCTATCCTGATAGGAGCAAAAACATTTTATGTGACCCTGTCCTATTGTACAGGGAAGTGGGACAGAAAGGAAATTCAGTGTTCATATTAAATTCAAGTGTCAGCAGACTTTAAAACTTCTGGTAAAGAAATGYTTGTTTGTTTTAGTGAACAATAATAAGTCAAGTTATTGCTGTAGCCACTTAAAGACTGTGCAGTGTTATGATATAGATTGCATTAGGTGCATTGCTGCTGTCTGTCACTTGCAAGCATCATGCAACCAGTGTTGCAGCACAGGAACCAAGCAAATGAGAGGTTTCAGTAATGCCATGGTGCTTATAAAATGGGTAATGCTTTTTTTCTTTAAATGCTTTTAAATGTTTATTTGTGATCAAGGTAGGTGTATCTCCCTGCTCCTTTCCTGTATATCACTTACGGAACATTTTCCTGTATATCACTTACGGAACATGCAAGCAGGCAAAAAGAGATTTTGCGTAGATTACTGGCAATTTTTATTATTTTAGTCAGTAATTATTTTGCTGGGGTTTTGGTGTGGTGCTTGACAAAGAAACCTTTCTGAGAGCCAGGGGCTGTTCCTAGCAGTGTGCAGTGCAGGTTGCAGTTGAGGAATCTTTGCAGATGCCTAACAGCAATGGAGACAAGTGTTATCCTCCAAAGAGAAATGAAAGGTCGAATGAGAAGCATGTTTGTCTGTGCTTAATATCTTTGTGTGCATATGGTAGGAGTGGCCTGCTTTTGTCCATCTCTGGACAAAATGTCCATACATTTGTTTTCTTCTGTGGAATGATGGACTCAACTGGTTTTGGTTTGGCGATTTTGTTTGTTGTTTCTCCGCCCCCCCCATTCCTTGTTGCTCTTTGTACATAGGAACAGAGACAGCTCCARGAGTGGAAGCCTTAAAACTTGTTTTAACTTGAAATTAAATCAGCATTCAAAATCACAAAAGTGCTGTTGTTTTACACTTTTTGCACTTTGAAGAATTGTAGCATTTAAAGAATAACGTTTTAACCTTTATTTTATAGAAAAGGACAAAACAATGGTATCATTGAAAGACTTGAGAGTGTACACAGAAAATAAACGTCTTAGATTTAATTTAGTATGTGCTATTGTGAGTAGGAAACTCCCTTGTATGTTGCCCAGCATGTCTTCATAGAGTTCTCCTGCTTTGTTGCAAACCCTTTGCTTTTGGAGCTGCTTGTTTTCACTGGCTTGAGAAAAGATAGTTGTGACTTCTGAGGGTTCTTTTAAAGTTCCATTATTCTATGATTCCATGAGCTATTAAATAGTGGTGTGAAACATCTTACTTGATGGCAGAGAARGTCATTCTTTGCTCAGTCCTTAGAACCAGCTGGTAGCAGATAAGGTTGAAGATGGATAGTCATGAAGTATCTGGGATGTTTACATGCCTATTTAACTCTGTGTTCAAAATGGAGAGCGATTTTGAAAAAGTCAAGGCCATTCTCCAAAGCTTGTGTGTGATCAGTTCRCACACTTGGGCTTTTCTGTTACTTCTGTTGGGAAAAATTCTAGAAAAAATGCTAAACCAATATAGCTTTATGCAGGAAAAAGCAATGAGGTTTCCTGTGCAATGTCATGAGGGGAGGGATCTTTTGCAATGAAAAATTGCCAAGTATCAAGTAACTAAAATGTCATCAACTTTACAAACATACAATATAGTCAATAAAAATTACCACCCTCAACAAGTGGTAACCTTGTGTGAAAGTCTAGAGGGTTTCCTCTTAATTATATTCCRCTAATCCTTTTTGGATGTGTGTTTAAAAATGAGCCCTTAAACATTTTGATTGTGCATGTGACCCTTGGCAGGGTATTGTACAGTGCTTGTTGATTCTGTTTTACTTTAAACAWTTTTATGAAATCACAATTATGATACTTATTACTTTTCTTGGTAAYTTTTTGATCTGCATCTGTTGCTTTTCTTATTTTTCCTTGTAGAAATGGAAAACAAGAAAAATTTGGAGTGCTCTCACTAATCAGCTTTTGAAGTAAATCAGCTGTTTAAAGAATTAGCTGGAGAAGCCTAGTTGTTCCTTGCTTGTACTTGCATCCTGATAGTTGATAGCATCATGGTATGTCCAGTTTGTACTGTTTAATTTTAACTGCTGCAGAAATTTCTAGAAAGGCAAGTATCTTGATTAACTTGGTGCTAGAGTCTGAAGTCTCTGCGTCTGAAAGTATGGCACTGTTTTCCTGCTACATCAAGCTTTTACATGAGTACTTGTATTAGCATTGGTGAGACATCTTTTCTGTGTTAATCTCCAGTGTGAGGTCAGGATAAGCTCGTGCCTTTTGGTTTGAGGCAGCAAGGCAGTCTAGCAGATGTTCACTGCCAGCTATCAATGTTCATTTTTTGAGCGTTTTATTRGTCCATCCTCCAAGGTGCAGGATGAATGTCAGGAGCAGAAGGGCATACATTTCTGTTTTCCTTTGGGTCTTGGTAATARTACATTTACTTAATCCTGTCTGGACTATTCCAGCTTTAAATATACAAGAGCCATGATGCAACAGATATACTTGGAGTCTTGGGTCAATCTTGGTTGGTTCCCAGTTCTGATCAGGATGGCTGTGAGTTTTTCTGTACTGCTGATTTTCTTTTTGTCTTCCAGAGAAAATTTATGATGACTTAAATGATCCACTGCTGCTTGCAGGAGCACCCAGAAGAGTTACGGGTGCCCCTTYATAAATAAAGTGAAGTAATCAAAAGTCACTTCTGTGCCCTGCCTTTCCTTCTCTCCCCCACAAATACAAATGAGTGTGTTCAGCAAGTTAACCTGGTGAGAAGGTTTTGTATGATGACGATGATGGTTTAGAGGGATTTTTTTTTATTATTTTGAGAAGTGATTCCTGCCAGAAAAACTGCTTGCAACAGCTGCTTATGGAGCTGGGCAAGCCCTAGGGTGAGTGCCGGACTATGTGGGTGTCCCAAGGGAACATGAAGGTTAATGATATGTCATGGTGCTGCACATATGGGCAGGAAGGAACAACAGCTTGAATGGCTGTAAGCAGATTAAACCCTTACACCAATGGTTTTGTCCTGGAATGTAAGATTTCTCTTTTAAAATTTTGAAATAGAGTTGTTCGTGTAGTAGGTCAAGCAATCTAAGACTAATTTGAAACAGTAAGGTTCTGTGCCCCCAGAAGTCAGTTTTTCAGGTACTGGTACACCTTGAACCAAATGTCACACTCAACAGAGTGCTCTGCTGCTAATGGAACATGCAGGCTGTGCAGGCTGCTTTTCCAGGAAAAAGTGGGGCAGCTTTCCACCTGTGGCTTCTGATGGTGTACAGGGCTTCTTCTGTCACCTTCTAGTGATTCCCAGCTGGTGTGTTCTTGCTTCTTTAGAAAGCACATGGAAGGCTGGTCAGATCTCATTTTTAAGTAATGCAGAGCATTTGAAATATGGTGCCATGCTTGTCAGCATAAGGTTGAATGAYTGATGAGGAGTTTCCTATGGGATGCTGGGTTGTAGGTAGGCAGAGCTAAGAGAAAAGTTGGGTTTACAGTTCCAAAAGCATTTATTCTTTTATTTCATTTATTTCTTATCAGAGAAAATAATATTGTCCTGAATATGGCCAGAACAAGACCATAATGGACACTTGAAATGGTTGTTAAATTGTCTTCAGCTTGACTTTTCACTGATCTTCAAGGAGAGATGTCCTCTTCAAAAATAGTACATCTTTGCTGCTCCAATCTGTAGACTGGTCAAGCTGCCTAATTCCCCTCTATCACACACACACTCTTGACTTCCAATATAATAAATTCCCATAGTCTGTTCATGTTAGTGTCAGTATGACTGGCTAAAACTTTCCATGTTACGGTGGGCCACTCTGAGAAGTTCATCCCAAGAGTCAAGTAAGAAGCCTCCTGATTTTGATTTGCATGATCAAAATACTATGAAATGGTCATCCCTGGAAAACAAAGCTTTACGAATACAGCTAGTAGGCAATCTTAACGAGGAGCAGGCCTGCTGGCTGAGCCTATGGTTAAGCTTAAAGGGGGGATACAAGGCATGGAGATGTGTTTCCTGTTTTGACAAGCTGCTGTGGATATCTGAGTGGTGCCATAGTGTAACTGTGTTCATATGGAACACTTGGAGCTGGTGGGGGCCCTAAGCATCTTTTATGGAGGATACCATCTCCCCACCACCAACTGGCCACCTCTGCTGTCCTGACAGTGTGAGTGTTCCCCAAAAGCCACATGAGCAGCTTGACTTGGCCAACCAGAACCAAAACTGTTCTAAGAAAAAGCAGCAGCAGCACTGTCCAGCTGAGAGACTCTGACTGGATTGGGTGGTTTTTTTCTTTGCCTGCA